CCAAATGCGGTGCAACAGCCGAGGTAAGAAAGTCTTTCACGAGGAAAGACACCGTGAAGGTCATGTCCAAAGTTCTCTTTTAAAACATCTGTGCAAATCCCACTCACAAAACTACTCTTGAAGGCTCATCTCACGGCTGAAGGGTGTGGCTGTTGGGGTGCTAAAGGTGCAATGAGGTCAGTTGACAAGGGAAGAACAGAAGAAACCGCCGGAAGCACCAAAAATAGGGACCTCTTTTTGCGGCTGATCTGGGATTATAGTATGTACTAGCATGGTATTAACCTTCGGTGATTAAAAATGTTTGTCTAGATAATAGATTCTAGCGAGAATCTACTTGTAGGGTTGAGGGACGAGAGGCCGAGACATAAGACCCCATTCTCTAACCTCCACTGCGGGTGGGGCGCGAATTACGAACGGCAATAATTTTCTGTATTGGTGCAACCCATGTGGCTCCAAGCCACTCAAATCTCATTGCGGAGACACCATCAAGGTAGTCGCGGGGCACCGTGGGAGGCGGGTCTTAGAATCCGTCAGATTTATTTTGGATGTCATTTCAAGAACATTTTCTCCTCTTTTGTCCCACTTTAAACTCAGCGATCCAATTTGGTTCTGCCAAAAATGGATAGAATGCCAAAACCCTAATGTAAGGTAGAGTATTAATCTGAGGATATCATCTATTTATTTCAGCGAGTGTTTCCACCGTTTCCTTCACGAACCTTCCCAAGTCACTACACGATGGTCACCGGACTTTATCCAGAATCTCACGGAATAGGTAAGCTTACACTGAAGGGGGCGAAAACGCCTATTAGAGAGAAGTACAAATTAATTAGCTACTGGATGTAGTAGCAGTTGCAGAGGTCGAAGCTCACGCGAAAGATGTAGAGAGATTCAAAACTTATCTTCACTTGGCTTGTCCAGTGGATGACAGCAGCTTTCAAATTACCTATTTCTTGACCATTAGTTGAAAAATAGAAAGGCCAGCGGAAAAACAGAACCTCTCCATCTTTCTCAGTGCCTTATTGGTGTCAACAACATCATCACGTGATTTTTTTTCCAAATTTTGTTTGTTTTGTCCCTTATTAAATTGCAAGCCCAATAACGTTAATTTGCACTGCATGTTTCACTGCTGTAAGCTTTACATAAGTAACACGACGGTGGCAGTCCATATGGTCCGCCAGAGAGCCGCGCTCATGCAGCTATGGCAGCCCATGGTATAGCCTGCCAGCTAATAATCGCCTACCACTCGCTTGTATCATGATTTTTTGGATAGTTTCTGATATCAGCAAAATAATTAGGTTCTAATACATAGCTATTATTTTTTCAGTTCACAAAAATGTTTACTGCTTTGCTATGGAAGGGTTTTCGAGCCCTACTAAATACTTGGCTTGCTTTATTCATCTTTCTATAGCCACGGATACGTGATTGAAAAGTGTACTAAAAGTAAAAACAAAAATCTATGTATGCAAAAATACGTCACTCAAGCAATAGTGGCAATGCTTTCGACCTCACTCCAGCAATAGTTGATGTATTTCATAGTTTCTTTTCCATCACACGTCCTGTCAGACAAAGTTCTACTACAATTCCTCTGGGTAACTCACGCGTATTGGCTATTGCTTAAATTATCCTGTGTTATTTATGTTTTTGTTCATTGATTACATAAAATCCAGAGATATGAGGTGAAGTGGCGGCGCTCGCCAAATTGCGCCCCTCACACGCGAACAAAATGCGAAGGAAGGCGTCGTCGTGCGCTTTGGGTACCCGACAGGAGGCCCGTCGCGCGACAACAAGATAGGTTCAGTGGACCAGCCGCATGATGTGTGATGTAAGATATACTGTAAGATATACAATGGGACATCTTATGGACGCGGTATCACTATAATACGCGCTGCGGCTCATCCGCTGACTCTGCTGTAGCCGCACGACGGACCTCCTGTCGGGTACCCGTGCGCATTAACGCGATTCTCTTCGGTGCTACCCTCTCTAACGACCTCTCTCTTTCTGCTAGACGGTTATAGGCCAGCGGCGAGTGGTTAGCCATTCGCCGGACGTACCGCGCTGAGTGCCGCGGGGGGCATAAGGTCGCCGGGGGCATATTCTTCGCTATGAAATGCGTGTCGGTCCTCAGCTTTAGGGGGTTCACCTGTCCTTCTATTAGGTAACTTTCCCCTTCGACGTTTGACCTCCTCTGAGCTAACCATATCCACAAGCAGCAAAACTCTTCGTAAAATTTTAGAATTTCCGAATGTCTAGTAAGGCATCGAGGGTACTGTTCTTATTTGGACGCTGAAGTATTGGACACTTCCTTTGTCTCTGCTGGTAACAACTGTAGCCGTTTTGCTCCAAGGCAAAATGGCGAGTAAAAAGTTTTGGGCTTGGATACCTGCCTGGAATGAATAATTCCTACTTGTGACATCAGCATCAGTATTTCAGTGGACAACAACGTTTACGATTCGCAGCTATCAGATGAATTGGAGAGCATGAAAAGAACAGAACGAGAGGGATTCTACAAAGGCGACCCGGTAAGAGAACTTCGTTTTGCAGGTTAGCTTTCAAATTTGATCGCATTTCGTAGCCACCGTCCTGAATTTGAGTTCTCCGCAGATTTGGAACATTTACAAACGACATGGCGGTAGAACGGCTTGTCTTTTCTGGCCAGGCTGCGCCTTCAACATCTCAGGTACTCATTTTACTCCTCTTTCCTCCCTCTTCAAACGATTTTCAGTTTTTACAGGGTTACGGCCAGATATCTCGCCACCGTACAACAAGGATTTACCTTTCCGGAATCGATTTGACATGGTACGCTATACTTGAGAAAAAAGATATGAATTGGGAGGTGCTAGCTACGAGAGTGACCTCATGCGTGGATGAAAGAATAGGCTTTCTGGTCACGAAGGAAGCACCACATTTACAAAAGAAGGTCCGCCACGTGCTAGTTGAAACCTGTTTCCCAAAGGTCTGTAGACCTAAACTTTTTAAAGGAGAAATTGG